ATGCGTTTTGCGCAGTTCCGTCCAGCGAACGTTTGTCTGTTAAAGATTTTCATCGCTCTGCACTTTGTTCTGAAAGTAGCTGAAATGTTGTCTGGTCTCTAAGCTACAAAATTTCCCACGAAAAATTTCACATACTGGTACATGAAAGCTGAATTTGAAACTTTGAACGGTGAATATCCTTCCAAAATTTCAACTCACAAATTTTATGATTTTCGAGAGATTTTTGCCCCAAAACTTTTCCGTGGTCGTGCATGAGACCTTGGTATACTTGGCAACTAAATTTGAATTTGTGAGGCTCCCGCATAGGCAGAAAACACTCTTTTTCAGCCTTGTAGCTTTTGTGGTTCCCCAGATAATAATTTCCCTGTCAAAATTTTCACGGGGCTGTACTTGATACCCGGGCATGCGGGAAAAACGTGGGCAAGGGTTATTACCTCAGAAGTTCTGCTTCCTAGTTACCACAATTCCCGAGATAATAATTTTTTCCTGTCAGAACTTTCGCGGGGTCGTACGAGATGCTCAGGGGCAACGGAAAGATGAAATTCGATTTGGGCGGGAAATATTCCTCTAAATTTTCAGTTTTCTAGCTTATGTGATTCCCGAGTTGAAAGTATGTTTCGGACACATATGCACAAACGCACACACAGAGACCTTTTGACAATATGCGTTTTGTGCAGCTGTTGCGGAGCACAAAACGCATACGCATGAGGCGAAGAAAAGACAATCTGGAAAATACTTTGAAACATTGCATCAGTGATCTAAATCTAGATTTCAACAACCTTGTGTCAAAAGTTCAAGCCCAAAACTCATATCAGCCTGCCGCTGTTCATTTCTATGTGTGTTTGTGTGTGTGTGTGTGTGTGTGTGTGTGTGTGTGCATGCGAGTGCGTGTGTATGTGTGTGTTTTCCCGAATATTTCAGTTTGGCACCCAAACAAGCTCCGGCTCCAAAATTTTGCTAGTGGGTTCCCCGGCCAAGTGCCTCCCCAGGATCGCGGCACTCCTCATGGAAGTCGGAGCCTCGCGTATGAGGGTGAAAGTTTTGACGGAAAAACCGCTAACCCGGAAACGAGAAAGGCTAGAAAGCTGAAATTTTGAGGTTATCTTTCCCGTCCACATAGAACTCAAAGATTTCAAATTCAGCCCCAGGTGTGTGTGGTACCATGAGAGTTCCTGGCGCAAAAATCAGTAACTTGGAACCGGAAAAGCTGGGAGGCTGAAAATTTCAGGGGGTGTTCCCAGCGCATGTACAACTTAAAGCTATAGAATTGAGCCCCCCGGTTTGCGTGATCCTCATGTATGGCCCCATGAAAATTTTTGGCAGAAAGATGGCTAACTCAGGGACCAGAAAAGCTAAAAGGCTAAGATTTTCAAGGAATGTCCCTAGCACGTGCCCGAAAAAAATTTATCGAATTCAGCTCCCAGACATGCGTGGTTCTCACATATGGCACCGTGAACTTTTTTGGCGGGAAAATGGCTAACTGGGGAACTAGGAAAACTGGGTGTCTGAAATTTTCAGGGAGTGTTCCCAGTGCGTGTACAACAAAAATTTATCAAATTCAGCCCCAGGCACTCAGTAGAATATTCAACCTGAATATCCGAGACTTTTTGACGCCAAATGCAAACAGTCCGGCAGGCGTAAATGTAGTCTGGTTTCACCGAAAGAAACTCCGAAACCAAGCACCGAGCAAGCGAAGTCACACAACAGGCCAATTACTAAAACTCAGTTCGGCTGGATCGAAGAAAAAGGATGGGAAGTGTGCGAGCCCGGAATAGTGGTTTAGCTTTCGCAGATCTTAACGGAGAGGAACAGGGCAGGTTTTATGGGATAGGGTGCCTCTATGAGTTTTTCACGCTCAGCCTGAAATTGTTGCTGAGAGAAAGTTCCCCACCTTAAAAGCCATACCTAGAAACTTATCCAGACAGACCCGGAGTAAAATGCACCAGGCTTGCCGATATAATCACGCGTTTTTGCACCAAACTTGAGTATTAAGGTCGTCCGCTGCATCCATATCAGTAGAATTGTTTTATACCAGTTCTGGTTGCGCATTAACTTGAAAAATTACCACCACCGATTACGGGCACTCTTGAAAAAACATTCATACGCTGTATATAGCTGCGTCCAAGTAAGTATTAATGTGCTCAAACCCAGCTCAGGTAAGCGTGGTACCTGCGTATGAGTCCGCCAAAATTTTTTTCGAGTGAGTGTTTTATCGCATGCAAAAGCGAATAATCGCTCTTCTTTGTGAAGATTTTTGTAAAGGTATCCATTCACTTTTGAATAGTTGAATAACTACGGAGTTGCAAACAGACAACGAATGACCCAAGTATCATTTACGCACCAAGCTGCCACGTCTATTTTATCTACTTTTACGTTCTCTTGTACCCGACTCTCCAGTATTTGCACATACACGTCATCCATGAATACAGCTACCTCCGTCCCCTTTTTTTACTTTTCCTTTTCTTTTTCTTACACATTTTATACCTCCCTTTTTCCCACATATTTTCCTTTTTCCTACTATTACTTTGATTTCTTCTGCTTTACATCTTTTTATCTTAACTAATTTATATACTTTACTAAATTACTGTGTTACCACAATCGTCGTACTTGTGGTAGCGGTAAGAAATGTATGCGACTTAATGGACCGAAACATTCCTTACCTATAAAAGTATTTGTTTATACCCCTTATTTTAATATCGTTTTCCTTTCCTTGTTTTTTTATCCTGATATTTTCTTTTTTGACCTTTAATAATATATATACATATCACTTGCATGGTCTAAGCAGCCAGCCTAAATCTATGTCACGTAACCACTCAATCCACCCAACCAATTCTCTCACTCTGCCTCCAACCCTCGCGCCCAGAACCAGCGTACAGTATCACTCTACCACTATCCCATCTGTGGGCATCCAGCACCCTTTGCCGCACTAGGGTAAAAACACCCGAAAAAATCGTTCACAAGTGGCGTGTACAGCGCTGGCGAGCCGAACCGAGTTTTAGTAATTTTCAAACAATATACCCTTTTTGGCGGGAAAATGGCTAACTGGGGAACTGGTGAAGCTGGATGGCTGAAATTTTCAGGGAG